GAAGAAGCCTGCTGAGGGAGGAGGAGGAGGGCGAGTGGCCTCGTCACGTACGCTGCGGGGAAGCGCGTGGCGGTGCCCTGTCCATCCTCCCGGGAGTCCTGGGCTGGGCTCGGTGCGCGTCTCTGAGGGCCCCCGCGCTCTCGCAGGGGCTGCAGGGTGTTCGTGGGGTGCTCTGGCCTGATGTCTAAAGTGCGGCTGGGCGTCCATGGCACCGTGCTGTCCTTCGCTTCACAGGTTTGACTTCGGCTCCAGCCCCCCGGGCTGCGCCTGTGGTTTTGGTGCCAATATCGCAGCTTTGACAGTTAGAGCAATCTATCTATCCTTAGATAGCTAAAGCAATCCTAAAGGAGGCAGGTGGGGGTCTCTTCTGTTGGACTGTGTTGAATTGTTGGTGCAGAAGAACGGACAAGCTTGTGGGATCGCAATCTGTTAAATCTAGCTGGCTCGCTATTTTTTCGGCTTGTTTTGCCTCTGGAAGGGGACGCATTCGTGGTCTGCATGCAAGAGTTGCTTTTATTTGAATCTCAGCTCTACAGGCCAGTCCTAGCGAGCAGGCTCAGTTTGCAGATTTTCAGGCCTTGCCTTTTTTTAACTATATCATGCTTCTGTTGTTGTGCCAGCCCAGCTCTCAGCAGCTCCGTATACTTGCCGGAGGAGCGGCAATGAAAAGCCTGCACAGTGCAACATGTCTTGCTGCACGCATTGGATTAGTGCTCCTCCTCTGAACAAATTCCAAACCAGTGGAAGGCGAGCGATGCGTTTTCACAGTGGCTTTTGATTCTGCAAATACTATGGTGGTAAGAGCAGGAGGTTTCTGCTTTGCAGCCTTAAGAAAAAAAGGAATCAGCATGGTGTGTCTGTTAACACGCATGTCTCTGGTCAGCTCCCAAAACGAGCAGCTTGCCGAGTACAGTTATGAGCTCGTTTGCCCCAGTGGGAGAAGTTTGTGGTTTGGGTTCTTGTTTCCTGCTGGGGATTGCTGTTGTCTACACATAACCACAGCTTTTTCTATGTGCTCAGATGGAAAATGGATGGATAGCTGTGAAATAATAAGTAGTTTGAAAATAATTGTGTTGTGAGGGGAAAAAAGTTACGTGTTTATGTCATTGATGATTTTGGATAAAGAATTTGGTGAGTCTTTGCTTAATTCATCCTCAAATACTCGGAGTGCTGGCGGAACTGGGAGGAAAGAAATCGCAGAGTGACTGTGGAGAAAGGGAAGCAAAGTTTCAACATCATCTTTTGTGCTTATTTATAGGAGTCAGCCTTTCCATCAGCAGTCGAATCGTGTCATTCCCATTTGTATAACATTCCTATTAAAACTGAAGCGTAGCACTGGGCTTTGCTTGTAAAAGCAGACAGCGTTTTGAGATGCTTGTTGAGCTCTGAGCTGGCACAGGCAATTATTTATCCCCTTCTTTTGGTTTAGGTGTAGTAAGCATAACTCGGTAACTGGTGCTTAGGTATTTGTTAGCATAACATTAACGGAACTGTTTAAATCTCCATAGTAAGCCTACTGAGCTGAAGATTCAAAGGCTAGGAAATAAGAAGGGTTTGGATCCAAGGATAATCTTGTTCTGTAGAATCGAAGGAGGGGGTTTGGGTGCCTGTGGTGGACGGTGTTCCCTGCTCTCCCGCTTGCTTGTGGCGTGAGGTTGGGGAAAGGATTCTGCTTCCCTCGAGTCTTGTCTGCCTTGTTTGTAAACTCCTTAGGGCAGGGGCTCCCTGCAGCTTTTTACCTTCCGTAGTACCTGCTCCACAAAGCATTCATTCTACATGGCTACTGAAAACCTCCATGAATCTGTGTGCTTTGTAGCTCTGTTTTACCACCACTTGAAAATATTTTGTCAAAACTTTTATTACACTGGGTTGCGAGTCTAACTTTTGGGTTGTGGAAATGCGTATGGACTAAAATTTGAGTTCGTAGCTCTATGGGAGCAGAAGGTATCTCTTTCTGAGGCTATGAATATTATTCTCATGTCCCCCTCTTGTGCTTCATATGGCTTCCTTACTGTTGTATTAATATAAATTTTGTTCTGTTTGTATGCTTTTTTTTGATTTATCTTCCTGAGCAAGATTTCTAGCGTCCCATGTGTAAAAGGCTGCGAGTCTACTGTACCCGAGCACATACAGAGGGAAGAAACCTTAGTTAACTTTTAGGAAGTGGAAAGAACTTCTTCGTGTTCAAAAGGCATGCGTACGTAGTTGCTAGGAACACAGTGAAACTCAATAAATTGCAGGGGAGGTGTGGCTTAGAGCCACAGAAATACTGTTTGTTCTGGGAGCAAACTTTCTTTTAAAAAAAAAAAACAACCCTCGGTTCTTTTGAGAACTTTGGAGTAGCTTAAAATGTTACTTGGAAACACGACATAACCTAAATGGTAGTGGAAATGGTGATGCCCCCGTAAGGCTATAAACAGGCATTTGAAATTTAGAGGCTGTAAGTCCATTCTGAGTGATGAGTTTTTTCAAAAAGAAAACACTTCAAGGAAGTTTTGTCGTTCCTTCGGTTTACAGTGTGAGAACATGATTGCGCAGTCTCCTACGCTTTGGTCGGTTAAGCATTTGGAATTTTATCCGAGTCTTGTTTAAAAGTCTTATCTCGAAAGCCTGTTTAAGGAAATGTTTATTTAGGATCGCAGTTAACTTTTACTTAATCTTACCTTTCTCTTATTGCCTGATTAGGAGGGCGAATAATTTCTTAATTTCATGTGCCTTAATGAGAACACATCTTTTGATCTTCCTGTTTGCTTTGTCCCTATTACAGGTTCTAATAGTCTCAAGTGTTTCGGGTGAAATTACGGGTGAGATTTAAACTCAAATTAAATTCAGAGCAATCTCTGCGCACGACTGGCGGCACAGTTTTAGGTACGGCCACTTAGGGTGATGCTTTTTGAAATCTGCGCTTCTAGCCAGGCTTTTCACAATGCTCCTTTGAAAGTCAGGTCTCTGAAGCTCAAGCACCTTAAGTGCTGAAATCTGAGGCGAAGCGCTCTCGAAAGCCTGGGCGTGACTTTTGGCCACTGAAATCTTTGGGTTTGTTAGCTTCCGTGCAAATAGCTAATGTGCAATGTTGTTAACAGCTTTTTGCAGAGAGAAGAAAGATGGAAAGTAATGCAGTTTTACTGGAATCCAAGTCCTCGCCTATCAACCTGCTGAATGAAATGCACCAGCTGCGTCTCCTGGGCCACCTCTGCGACGTGACTGTCAGCGTGGAGTATCAAGGCGTCAGGGCAGAGTTTGTTGCTCACAAGGCTGTATTGGCAGCAACAAGCAAATTTTTCAAGGAGGTGTTCCTTAATGAGAAGGGCATGGATGGCCCAAGGACCAACGTGTTCTTGAACGAGGTCCAGGTTGCTGATTTTGCTTCGTTTCTTGAGTTCGTCTATACTGCTAAGGTAGAAGTGGAAGAAGACAGGGTGCAGCGCATGCTAGAAATAGCTGAAAAGCTGAAGTGCTTGGACCTCTCGGAAACCTGCTTTCAATTAAAGAAGCAGATGCTTGAATCGGTGCTGCTGGAGTTGCAAAACTTCTCGGAATCACAGAACTCTGAGGAAGAGAGCGCTACCCAGCCAAGCCTTTTGCTTGAGTCCAAAGCAGCTGCTGTGGCAGAAGCTGACCAGGCAGACTGTCCTCTGGATCCTGCAGATTGCCCGGTAGGCAGGCCCAGCAACGGAATGTCTCCTGAGATGCCTGCTACCAAATCGAAAGAGAAGATGGACAAAAAGAAGGAAATGATGAAGCCTCCTTATGCCAAAATCAGAAGGGCGAGCGGGAGACTGGCTGGGAGGAAAGTGTTTGTGGAAATCCCGAAGAAGAAATACACACGGCGGCTGAGAGAGCAGCAGAAGAATGCAGAGGTTGCTGTTGAAGAAAACAAATATCCTCAAGGTCAGGAAATGTGCGATACGGAGAGGGAGGAGGAGCAAGCGGAGAACAACATCAAACCTGAAAGCGAAGAATGCGATGGCAACTGTGAATCGGAAGAAAACCTGAAAAAATCTGAAGAGGACAAAAAGAAACGAGGCAGTAACTTCAAGTGCAGCACATGTGAGAAGGAATTCCTGTATGAGAAAAGCTTTCTCAAGCACATAAAGCACAGCCACGGCATTGCAGCTGAAATCGTTTATCGGTGCGAAACCTGCAGTCAGACCTTTGCCAACCGGTGCAACCTAAAAAGCCATCAGCGCCATGTCCACAGCAGCGAGCGCCACTTCCCTTGTGAGCTCTGCGGTAAGAAGTTCAAGAGGAAGAAGGACGTCAAGAGGCACATTCTCCAGGTTCATGAGGGTGGTGGGGAGCGTCATCAGTGCCAACAGTGTGGAAAGGGGTTGAGCTCCAAAACTGCCTTGAGGCTCCATGAAAGGACGCATACAGGCGACAAGCCTTATGGGTGCACAGAGTGTGAGGCTAAATTTTCTCAGCCTTCTGCACT